ATATATTATTCAAGTTTTTAAAAATCTTAGTATATCTCAGTTAGATAAATAATATTTTATTTAAGTTATAAAGTTGGCCAAAAAATGAAGAATAAGCATTCATAGAAAGTGTGAATAATATTATTTTACAGAGTAGGTATGGCATTTTAACAGAATATTGATGTTAAATATAAGACTTAATTATAACCTTATTACAATTTGAATTTGCTGTCTGGGTAGCGACTATATTATTACAGGCCTCCCTTGTAATATATGTATAATAGTTGTTATAAAATATACATACGTGTGGTTCTATCCCAACAAACGCACCCCGTCAACTTCGTGTAAAAAAGTCTAGGTGAAAAAAAACTTTAAGATAATGCTATATATGTGATATAAGGTGGAATCTAAGTAAATTATCTTATGTGTAAAATGTATATATAAGTAATTAATCCAAGTTTAATGCACATTTTTTATTTATATTTAATATTTATTTATTATATGAATTATTTTAACTAAAATTAATCAAAGTTTAGTTTAATTGGTCGGAAACAAATTAATTTATTTTAATGGGGTCTGCATTATTTATTACATAATACTTAGTACATGGATATATATTTATAGACTGAATCTTCCGGCCAACTAAACTAAATTTATCTTAATTTTAGTTAAAATAAATAATAATTCATATTATAATAAATAAATATAAATAACCAATTTTTAATAAATTTCCATTACCTAATATTACCTATATATACATTTTACACATTAGACCATTTAATTAGATTCCACCTTGTATCACACATTTTATAACATTAATCATTATGTTTTTTTCACTTAACGTTTTTATACACTGAGTTGAAGGAGTGTTTTTTTGGGATATCATTAGTTTTTTAGGGTTCCGTACGGTAAAACAGGACCCTAATACTATAAGGCTCAGCTGACCGTCCGTATGACCATCTGTCACCAGGCTGTATCTCATGAAACATGAAAGTTAGAAAGTTGAAATTTTCATAGAATATGTATTTCTGTTGCCGCTATAACAAAAAATACTACAAATCCTAGAATATATCATATAAGCAGTGTTGCCAATATGTTTATAGATGATTGTACGGAACCCTTCGTGCTCGAGTCCGACTCGCACTTGACTGGTTTTTTATTATAAATTATTTAATTACTTATTATTATTTTATTTTATTTTATTTTTACTTCACCATGGTGCGTTTAATATGGCAAAAGTAGTATAACACTACCACTAAAATATCCACTATTTTTTGCTCATAACTGAAATATTATTATACAACCAATTCCATTGAAAATTATAAAAGCACGTAGCCTGTGATTTTCTCGATCAATTGATACCTCATTCTAATTATTTGGTCCATTTATTAGACCTGTAGCCTTTAATAAAAAATACCAAATATAAACGCATATTAAATGGGAATGTTTAGTGTGTTTTGATCGAGTGCTACGCCTTCTTTTATTTTACTTGGCTGGCAACAATGTCATAGAATCTATGGCAACGATAAATTAAATGAATACTATAATATTGTCATAACATGGCATTAATGTTGTAAACGTTTTTATTGAATTCATATTAAATAGTATTATTGTACTTATTATTTTATTACTTATTGAAGAAATAACTTTTTTTTTAAACCAATTGACGAATATTTTAATGATAAAGAACTTCTGTTGTCTTTAACTATATAAGGTATACGCCTGCCAATAGTGATAAATTAATTAGGTAGTAGTTATAGTAAATTGTTGTTTCCATTTTTTAATGTGTATTACTTTGTTAGTGCATATATTATATAACAATGTTTTAAAATATAGTAAAAAAATATTTTAATAATGAAGAATTTGGAATAGTATTTAAAATTATTGTAAGTACTTGTAATCTACTGAAAATTTTTTCTACTAGAATTCTAACATAAAAATAAATGACACACAAGAAAAATATACTATGAATGTGGATGTATCAAATGCCTATAAAACTGTTCAGAAATATGCAAAACTTCATGAAAATTCAATCGAGTGTATCGAAAACCCTAAAAGTAAATTTTTGTTGAAATATTTAGTATACAATTGATTTAGGTGTATTAAAAAATGATATCCATATTATGTATTATTACCTATATCTAAACCTAAATACACATTAAATTACTCATTATAGTGTTAGATTGTATTAATGATGGAAAAATATCAAATAATAGTGCTGTTTCAGATAATTTTAAGGATATTCAGGTAAAAACACCGTTCCATAAAATATATGTTTACATTTAGATATTATAGTTATTATGATTTTCATTTTTTAGAGGCAAGAAGCAACGCAATCAAATATTGAAGGTGATGGTGATATATTATCGAACCACGAGAAAAATATACAATTAGAAACAATCGAAAACGAGTTCAAGGGATTAAATGTAAGACAATTTTAGTCATATAATGCAAAATGTATTTAAAATGTTTGTTAATTTATATCTACCTTATAATTTCTATGTATAGATAAAAAACGAATTTATCACTGATAAAGTGCAGATAGTCGCTAACAGGAACAATTTAAGCAATAATCAGATAACATCAATCAAAGCCGAAATGAACAAGTATAATATTATACACAATGATCGCATCTATCCACACCATATTGATAATAAATAAAATTAATATATATTTTTTTTTATTGTGGTATTATTTTCATTAAAGGGTTCAAAACGAAATGCAAATTACTCACGATGGGAATATAACTAAAAAATTGGACAATGCTGCTTATTTTAAAGCCATCGTAGACAAAATGGCGGAAATCCATGGCCACATCGACCAGTTTAGAGTGGTAGTAGAAGGTTTGAAGCTGATGCTCGAAGACGCGTGTGAAAACGGAGAAACGATTACAGAGATAATGGAAGTGTCAGAGTATTTGAGGGCTCATTATGCTATTCAAGTGACCGAAAACCAAAGGAATTTTACCGAGCAGATAAATAAACAAGAGAGCGAAATCAACCAGTTAAAGGCGTACTCGGATATTAAAACTAAAGAAGTGGATACTCTGAAAAAACGTGATAGAGATCAGAAACTTCACATCGATTCTTACGAAAAATCGATGAAATGCATCACTGATAAGGTACTTATTATATTACAATATTATATTCTATATTCATTAGTAACGATGTAAGTTGCATATTTTTCGTCGAAAAATAATTCGTGTGCATTTATATATTATAGGAGCATACATGAATAAATACCGATACTAATAATAATTTTTTTAACATAATTTTTTTCTCATTCTGTGTCCCTCACTTGTAATGTGTGCATGCGTAATTTATGCTCCGTTTACTATTACATTTATCTACTCTAAAACAGTGAAATTTAAATTACATTTTAAACGTGTTTATTCCAAAAAATATTGTTGTTCTTATAATTATAACCACGCACTTCCCCTCTTCAGGAACTTCCCCTTAACAGGGAAACAAGCATATCGTGAGTAAAACGTTATTATATAATGCCTACCACAAATTCCCGTAATAACCCGTCATCGAATAATACAACTGCAATCAAACATAAAGACGAACTTTGCCCTAACATATTAGATACTGGAAATAATACAAATCCTAGATTACCCACAGTTAAAATTATAAACAAAAAAAAATTATCAGTAGACACTGGCATGGGTTCAAACCATGCTGATTCCGAAGACAATTCTAATTGGCAAGTAGTCACTTCACCTACTAAGCGTATAAACTCCCCAGGAACATCATGACCAAATCCAAAAATATATTTAACAATCAAAATGTATTTTCTACTCCAAATCGTAACAGTTCTATAAGCGTCGAAGATAACACAAACAATTAAAATAATATTGATACAGAAATGGAAAACGATGATATTATTATCAGAACACCTCCACCCATATTTATTAAATAATTTATAAATAATTATGAACAATTCTGTGAAGCAATTAAATAAAAAAACAAATACCACAATGTATGAATTGAAAGGACTACTGTCATACCCGCCATTACTGCAATAACATACCTCGTTGCGTTCGTTGTGGTGAACAACATACCTCAGACACCTGCACAAAAAGCAAGGACCTTCCAGCGAAATGTGCGGTTTGTTTTGGCGACCATCCAGTAAATTATAGAGGTTGTCCCTCAGGAACATTCAAAATCGTCGAAATCGGCTTTCTTCTCGAACAAATAAAAATTATCTTATCAATAACATCAGATACCAAGAAAATAATAATAATGTACAAACCCACCCTTGTCATAAAATTACCTCAGAAAATCAAAAAACACCCACACCTACCTATCTTACGCTCAAAAAAAAATAATATGTTGAAGATTTAAAAAAAAAACCACAAATACACCGAAAAACCAACCCCCCTTAGATACTGCAACTCAACTAACTGCTCAACTTACGTAATTTATCAACGAACTACAATGGCTAATTACTATTATATCACTTCTTTCAAAAGTAATTTACAAAGTCCTAAAGTCCTAAATAAAAAATGACTTCAAACCCAACCAATCATTCCTCTTTATCAATATTTTTTTTTTTTTTTTTGAAATGCCAATGGATTAAAACAGCATAACTAATGATTTTTCTACCTTATCCACAATAAAAACATAGATATAGCCCTGATGACTGAGACACACCTATAAAAATCTACAAACATACATGTCAATGGCTACACAACTATTAGTGTTTGCGATATCGTTGTTATAAAAACCGCCGTCTTTTCCACCGTTTATAATACACCTAATCAGTGCACCGATTCCCCCTTCTCGTCGTACCTTATCGGTGATAAGCTGACCTGTCCACCGAATACACCAATTAGTGACAGATCCGCAGACGTAAGACCTTGTCGTCGTTTGTGAGTGAGGTTTTCTTCGTAGGCTTTTTGTAGTACCCGCTGGGAAAAAGGATGAAAATGGTTCATCCGCTCTACCGTTACCGTTCACCGTATACCGTCACCTGTCAATTGCTCACCGTCACCATTCACCGTCTACCATCATCTGTCCACCATCAACCATCAACCGGGACTGCAGCCGCCGCCACGGTTTTTATCTATATACATGTACCCGTAAATGCCCGATCACTAGGTAAACACTAAACAGGTTTTACTAGTTAAGGCTAGGGTTTTACTGTTGTACTCAGTAAATGCTGAAATTCTAAATTTTAATCGGGCTTTTACTAAACACGTTGTGGTACATCCTAGGATATACAAATTGACTTAGTAAAAGCTGATCAATACACGACACATAACATTTAAAATTATAATTATATATTATTAAACAAACTTCTGACAGTTATTTATATTCTTATACAAAATAAAATCATTTAAAAAACAGAACCTTTCTATATTAGCCATATTAAAGTCAAATTATCAATGAAAATACATATAATTAAAAATTACATTAATTAAACACAATTCAATATATTAAACACTACGCGCACAATACATATTACACTGTTCTACAAATGGATCCGTCTATCACGTAAAACCCAAACAGACTGAACATGTATCTAATAAAACCATATCTAAGCGATAAAGTATCCGTTAGTGCCACCAATCAATTGATATCAGTCAGCTATTACTAAGTTATATCATGATATAAGTTGTATAATATTAATCTTCAACCCGATAAAATGCAAGTCCCTGCAACACATTGAAGTCGTAAATTTATCTTCGCATAATAAATGTTATGTGTCGTGTATTGATCAGCTTTTACTAAGTCAATTTGTATATCCTAGGATGTACACAACGTGTTTAGTAAAAGCCCGAATAAAATTTAGAATTTCAGCATTTACCGAGTACAAACAGTAAAACCTAGCATTAACTAGTAAAACCTAGGTCTGCCTAGTGATCGGGCATTTACGGTAACATATATAATATATATTGTAATATACTGGTAGTCCAGGTGATCTAGCGAAACCACAGTTGCCTACTGTGAGTTTCGCGACCGTGGACGCACGGTATAGATCGCGTCCCCAGGTTGCGGATAGGGGGAAACCCGGTTCCCTCGGTTCGCCGAGTCGGGCAGCCTGCGAATAACTAATACCCGGCCGTGGACAGCTTCGATCAAATGACCCGTAGTTCCGGACAGTATGTCCTCTGGGCCGGTTCACGGTCGCCGGTTGGGCCACCGACCCAGCCTAATACGAGTTGAGAGCACGGGCGCCGGAGTTCGCTCCGTCCAGCAGCCGGGCGTCTCAGTGTAAGCCGGGTTCGGGCATGTCTCCGGGACACAGCGGTGAGTGTTGCGGGCTCGCGGCTGAAGGCTCGTCTGCTTAGAGTCCCTAAGTCGGTAGGCGAGGGTGGTCGTCGCAAATAGTCCCTCCTTTGACCGAAAGGTAGGGCTGTCGTCAGTTTGGGCAGGGCGCCACGGCTCGGCAGGCACCGGATCGGGACGTTCGGCCAGACCGACCCAAAGAACGGGTCCTTGCTGATGACGGCTCGAAAGGGTGGTGGCCAAGATTAAATTCGCACCTCGCGGACGCTCGTCCGCGGTTAAGGCAAACCAATGCCCGTCTTGCCGGACAGAACTGGTAGCTCTCGAGGGGGTGTGAGTCTGACTGAAGACGCTTCAGTACCACGGGAGTGAGTGGGGCCCCGTGATGGTTCACGCCCCTGGACGTCCGTTGCGGTAGGAATCGTGGTGGCGGTTTTCTTACGAATACTTTGTGGTTAAGTCAATAGATACTTACTCTAAGTTCTCGCTGACAGGCGAAAACCTCTGATGACCGGCCGCCAGTCTCCGGTTCGTTGTCGGTTCCTCTCGGGCGTCTAGCCGCTATACCGGTGTAGTATCATCGGAGGTTGGGTGTAACCAGAAACACTCGGTGTGGAGATAGCACACAGCCAGACCACGCGAATTCAGGCGGCACTTGGCCTGTCTTCTTGGTACGGGACCTCGGTCCCGGTGCTCGTGGTCCATAGACGACGCGCGGCCGGCGGACTGGGCCACCGTACGTCGACCGTGAACCTCCGCGGCTCTCGACTAGCGCACAGCGCTAATGTGAGGTCCGCGGTTGTAGCCGCAAGGCACCAAACCCGGGAGTCTTCGTGGTAGTCCAGGTGACTACTTGTATATTAACGTTGCAGGTAGCTAGACCGATTCGCTGATGATGATGAGGTAGTTGTTGAAATAAAATGTAGACAGTTGTAAATATATGTGGTTTTATTATATCGACGCCTCAGTTCAAAACTGCAATAACTAAGAAATACTATTATTGAGATATAACAGTTTTAAAAAACCTAATATTTTAGAATTATCATATATAATTTTTGGTTATAGCAATTGATGGTATGTTTAAAGTCATAACACAGTACATTAATATTGACACTACATATTTATTTTTATTTTGTCCTCCACAATTATCACAGTAAAACACAATTTTTTTCTCTTTATTTTCTTGTTTTTTTATAAACTGATACAGACATGATCCAATTTCACACGGACCTCTATTAACCATTCCTTCATGCCAAAAACAACAAGTCCCTTCATTATCTTTCACATTATAAATAGTGAAATTATAACTTGCTAGGCGTCTTTTATAATAAAATTAAGAAACCTCTCCACGTGGTGTGATTAATACAGCCTGCAAATCAAAACAGCTTATTATGGTATTTTCATCACAAGTGTCATATTCCTTTTCTTGTCTCCTCTTGATGTTTGTTATACTGGTCTTCCACATCAAATTTATCTGCATCTGATTGATTTAAATTTTTGAACGCTTCAGAACACATACAGAATCCTTTTTTTGGCTTAAAGAATGAAATATTAAATTCACTGTTAAAAATATATTGATACATATTTTTTTAGGCATATTCAATATTTTGTTCTCTACACATTTCTATATACAACCTGTACATCATTGAAATATTTAAACTTCCTTCAATAAATTGTCTGGAATTATTTGCTCTTCAATATTGGGATGGTACTGTGGAAAATGATTTAATATGAGTTCTTATTGCATCAACTATTCGTCCAATATTTCCATGTTTATCAACATCAAGTATTCATTTTCTTAGTGGTTGTAAAAATAGCTCTACTACTAATACCTAATGTTGCCATAAACATTGTTTTACACACTCTAATGGTAACATTATTAACTTCTAGATTATAACCATAATTTAAGGATCTCATACTGTCTAGGCGGGCTCGATACTTAGGATTTATTGAACAAGTATGTCTCATTATAAACTCACGTTGTCTGTTTAAGTCTCCTATTTCCCAATACTTTTCATGGATTACTCTACGTTCATCAATAGTTTTATTATTAATACATTTTTAATCTGCATTTTTCATTGCAAGGAACTCCTAGTTTTCTGACAGCGACTACTTTGAAATTTGAACCTGACACATATGTTTTTCCTTCATTTCTTAATTTTTTTTTGTATATTTTTTTCCAATTACCTTCATTTCTTAGTCTTTTCCCTGCTCTTTTTCTTTGTTATCCTTGATTATTTTCATGCAGTTTCAAACTAATTGAGTACTTTGGACTAATGGAGGTTCTTGATTATTTTCGTGAAGTTCAACAAATTCAGTACTTTGGACCAATGGAGGCACGTAGTTCTTGTCTTTGTCTTCATCAAATGTATCACCTAAAAATTTAATAATAATTATTAATAATTGCTACAATAATAATATTTTTTTAATATTAAAATGATAATTTCAGCTTTAGTTTACTTGTTATGACATCATCGTTGTTCTCTACATTGATTGAAACAGGAGTTATCACTGTTTCATTTAC